TCTAGATCTAGGGAAGTAATGCTACCCCTCTATTCTGCTTTGGTTAGACCACACCTGGAATATTGTGTCCAATTTTGGGCACCACAATTCAAGAGAGATATTGACAAACTGGAATGTGTCCAGAGGAGGGTGACTAAAATGATCAGGGTTCTGGAGAACAAGCCCTATGAAGAGCGGTTTAAAGAGCTGGGCATGTTTAGAATGAAGAAGAGAAGGCTGAGAGGAGACATGATAGCCATGTATAAATATGTGAGAGGAAGTCACAGGGATGAGGGAGCAAGCTTGTTTTCTGCTTCCCTGGAGACTAGGACACGGACCAATGGCTTCAAACTACAAGAAAGGAGATTCCATCTGAACATGAGGAAGAACTTCCTGACTGTGAGAGCTGTTCAGCAATGGAACTCTCTGTCCCAGAGTGTGGTGGAGGCTCCTTCTTTGGAGGCTTTTAAACAGAGGCTGGATGGCCATCTGTCAGGGGTGCTTTGAATGCAATATTCCTGCTTCTTGGCAGGGGGTTGGACTGGATGGCCCATGAAGTCTCTTCCAACTCTATGATTCCATGAGTCTATGATTCCAGATCTCTGATCCTTTTGGTGGCCATTCTCTATGCACCTTCCATCTTGTCCAACTCCTTCTTGAATTGCTTTGCCTGGAACTGGACCAAGGGTCATTCCAGGTGAGGTCCGACCAAAGCACATGAAAGTGGGACTATGGCTCCCCTTATGCCGCTATTGATGCAGCTTGGAATATTCTTGGCTTTTTACCTGCTGCAGCACACTCTCGACTTGTGTTCAAGCTTGTAGTCTCTTAAGACCCCTAGATCCCTTTCCCACGGACTGTTTCCAAGCCAGGGGTCCCCATCCTATATATGCGCATTTCCTTTTTATTGCCAAAGTGTAGTACCAAGTGTAGTACCAAAGTGTAGTCTCCCCGTTGAAATTCATTTTGCTTGTTTTGGCCAATCAGCTCTCTAGTTATTCCAGGTGAGGCCTGTTGGGCTGCAGCGCCCATCGCTCACAGATAATCAAAAAGGACCAGAGAAGTCCTTTAGTAACATCGGCTAAACACTAAAGAGCACTGACTGCTATGTATATACGTATACACATTTGATTTTCTCAAATCTAATGCTCACCTTTTTTGACTAAACTCCCTTGCACAAATTAGGATGTGCATTCAATTCGTGTAATAAGGTACAAAGCAAAAGGGGAAGCTGCTTCAGGAGCTACAACTGGAGCTCCTATTTGAGGAGCACTATTTCTAATTTAATTGCCTTGGCTCAATGCTATGCCATCCTGGGATTTGTAGTTTGGTGAGGCATCAGCATTCCTTGCCAGAGAAGGCTCAAAGCCTTGTAGAACTACGTCCCCCATGACTCCTTAGTTAAAGTGGATCCATTCTACAGCATAGATGCGCCCCAAGGTTTTCCTTTTTGTTGCTGAAACCTTTGCTAGTCTAACATGTTTGTTTTTAAAGAAGGAATCCTAAGCAAGCAGCAATGGTAATGGTCAAATGACAAAGAGGGCACTTTGGGCTGCTTTTTGCACATGACGTTTGCCAGCAACTACTTTTGGGGGTTTTGAAAACGGAGGTGCGCCTTAGATTTGATGGCGCGCGGGACTCGAGTCAATATGGAATTTAATGTTATTACTATTTGATGGTGCATGACTTGAGTCAATATGGTATTTTATGTTTTTTTATTATTGTTGTTATATTACTCGAGATATGTTGAGATTACTTGAGATATGTTGTCGAGTCAATACAGTATTTTATAGAATACTAGAGTTGGAAGAGACCCCATGGGTCATCTAGTCCAACCCCCTTCCCTTCCGCCATGCAGGAAAACCATAATCCAAGCATCCCTGACAGATGGCCACCCAGCCTCTGTTTAGGAAGGAGCTTCCGCCAGACTCCAAGGCAGAGAGTTCCACTGTTGACCAGCTCTTCTTACAGTCAGGAAGTTCTGCCTAATGTTCAAATGGGATCTCCTTTCCTGTCATTTGAACCCATTACTCCATTGAGTCCTAGTCTTCTATTATGCTTATTATTATTATTATTATTATTATTATTATTATTATCTGATGGCGAATGAGACTTGAGTCAATACAGTATTTCATGTTTCAATATTATTATTCTTATTACGATTTTTGATGGTGCATGAGACTCAAGTCAATAAGGTATTTTATGTTTCACTATTGTTATTATTATTCGAAGGTGCATGAGACTCGAGTCAATATGGTATTTTAAATTGTTATTATTTGATGGCGCACAAGACTCAAGACAATATGGTTTTTTATGTTTTAATATTATTATTATTATTATTATTTGGCATATGAGACTTGAGTCAATACAGTATTTTATGTTTTAATTTTATTATTAGTATTATTATGCCATGGCGCATGAGACTCAAGTCAATATGGTATTTTATAGAAGACTCCAGGGGCCATTCCATCCAACCTCCTCCTCAGTACAATCAAAGCATCCTCACCAGATGGCCTCCTGCCTCTGTTTAAAAGTTTCCAAGGAAAGAGCTTCCACCAGACTCTAAGGCAGAGAGTTCCACTGCTGAAACAGCTCTTGTTACAGTCAGGAAGTTTTTCCTAATGTTCAAGTGGGAGCTCCTTTCCTGTCATTGGAACCCATGGCTCCATTCAGTCCTTGTCTCCTATTATTTTGTTGTTATTCTTGTTGTTGTTAATTACATGTATATAACAACGCAGCACACATGCACATTAAGTCCAAGTGTCTGGGATTGGTCTCTGAATATTGGGCTCTTTCCAAGGGCCTGGGATATAGAATCATAGAATCAAAGAGTTGGAAGAGACCTCATGGGCCATCCAGTCCAACCCCCTGCCAACAAGCAGGAATATTGCATTCAAATCACCTCTGACAGATGGCCATCCAGCCTCTGTTTAAAAGCTTCCAAAGAAGGAGCCTCCACCACACTCCGGGGCAGAGAGTTCCACTGCTGAACGGCTCTCACAGTCAGGAAGTTCTTCCTCATGTTCAGATGGAATCTCCTCTCGTAGTTTGAAGCCATTGTTCCGCGTCCTAGTCTCCAGGAAGCAGAAAACAAGCTTGCTCCCTCCTCCCTGTGGCTTCCTCTCACATATTTATACATGGCTATCATATCTCCTCTCAGCCTTCTCTTCTTCAGGCTAAACATGCCCAGCTCCTTAAGCCGCTCCTCATAGGGCTTGTTCTCCAGCCCCTTGATCATTTTAGTCGCCCTCCTTTGAACACATATTAGAGATGTGTTGTTGTTGTTATTATTATCATTATTAGATGGCGCATGAGACTCAAGTTAATGTGGGTAGTTAGTTTTGCCTCTGTAGCTAGGGACCCTTCCAGATAGTCCTATACCCCAGGATCTGATGCCAGTTTTTCTGTTTATTCCAGATTATCTGGAAGAGCAGACTCATATAATCGGGTTTAAAGCAGAAAACCTGGGATCGGATCCTGGAGGCCCTCCCAGACAAGCCTTACATCCCAGGATCTGATCTCAGGTTTTCTGTTTATGTCATGTATAATGTATATTGTATTTAGAGGTTTATGTTTATTGTGGCATTTAATTATTGCCAATTTGGAAGCTGCTCCGAGTCCCCTTTGGGATTGAGATACAGTGGGGTCAAAATACAGCAAATAAATAAATAAATAAAATTGTCCCAGGTTATCTGGAAGTGTGGACTCATACAATCCAGTTCAAAGCCGAAAACCTGGGATGGGACCCTGGGGGCTCTTCTAGACAGGCCATATACCCCAGGATTTATTTATTTATTGTATTTCTGCCCTGCTCTATCTCACCCTAGAGGGGACTCAGAGTGGCTTTTCTGTGTATCCCAGATTATCCGACAGGGTGGACTCATATAATTCAGTTCAAAGCTGAAAACTTGGGATGGGACCCTGGGGGGCTCTTCTAGACAGGCCCTATACCCCAGGATCTGATGCCAGGATATATTTACTTATGGTATTTTTACATGCTCTATCTCACCCTGGAGGAGACTGAGAGTGGCTTTTCTGTGTATCCCAGATTATCTGGCAGTGTGGAGTCATATAATCTAGTTCAAAGCCGAAAACTTGGAATGGAACCCTGGGGAGCTCTTCTAGACAGGCCCTATACCCCAGGATCTGATGGCAGGTTTTATTTATTTATGGTATTTTTATCCCGCTCTATCTCACCCTAGAGGAGACTCAGAGTGGCTTTTCTGTGTATCCCAGATTATCCGACAGGGTGGACTCATATAATCCAGTTCAAAGCCGAAAACTTGAGATGGGACCCTGGGGGGCTCTTCTAGACAGGCCCTATACCCCAAGATCTGATGCCAGGATATATTTACTTATGGTATTTTTACCCTGCTCTATCTCACCCTGGAGGGGACCCAGAGTGGCTTTTCTGTGTATCCCAGATTACCTGGCAGTGTGGAGTCATATAATCCAGTGCAAAGCAGAAAACCTGGGATGGGACCCTGGGGGCCCTTCTAGACAGGCCCTATATCCCAGAGTTTTTTTATTGATTGATTTTCTGCCCCTCTCTATATCACCCTGGAGGGGACTCATAGTGACTTGTCTGTGTATCCCAGATTATCTGGCAATGTGGAGTCATATAATCTAGTTCAAAGCCGAAAGCTTGGAATGGAACCCTGGGGGGCTCTTCTAGACAGGCCCTATACCCCAGGATCTGATGCCAGGTTTTATTTATTGAGTGCATTTCTACCCTTGAAGGTGGCTTTTCTGTGTGTCCCCGATAATTATGTGTCAGTGTGGACTCCTAGAATGTAGTTGAAAGCAGAAGACCTGGGAGGGGATGGTGGGCTAGAGGGCCTGCCTGGCGTTTGAGCCTGGCTTGGGCCGGGGCTGCGTTTGGCAGGCCTGAAGTGTGGCCCCCGCACGGTGGAGGCCAGGGCCCGGCTGCTTGCAGCAGAGGCCCCTCCTTCCGGTGCGGTGGGGACACTACATCTCCCAGGATGCCCCCCGCGGCCGGGTTTCCGGGGCAGGCGCCTCACCTCCAGCTTCTCGCTGAGCTCCTTGTGCATGCGCTCGTACTGCCGGCTGAGGTCCTGGTTGCGCTCGAGCAGCGCCTTGCCGAGCCGGGCGGCGAGGAGCAAGTCCTTCTCCTTCTGCCTCATGAGGGAGCGCAGCTCCGGCTCGGCGGCCTCGCTCTCCTGGGCGGCAGCGGCGGCGGCGGGGCGGCTCTCCTCACAGCCGGCGGCGGCTAGCAGGGCGAGCTCCTCCTCCAGCACCAGCTCCAGGTCCGCGGCGGCGGAGGAAGAGGAAGACAAGGCCGGGTCCGGCGTGGCGGGCGCGGCGTCGCGGCCTTCGGGCAGCTCCATGCGGCGCCCGGCGCTGTCCAGATCCGCGGGTGCTGAAAGGCGGAGGCAGGAGGCGGCCATGGCCCGGGGGAGGGAGGGAGGGGGGGAGAGAGGGAGAGGGGCAGGGAGGGAGGGAGGAAGGGACCGCGCTCCGCTTCTCCTCCTCAGGCTTCTCCTCCGGCGTCCTTCCGCCGCCGCTTCCGACGCCGCCGCCGCCGCCGCCGCCCGCAGTCACGGCCACCCCGCGCGGCTCGGGCGGTCGGGCCGGCTCCGCGGCGCCCCTCCCGCCCCATCTCCGCCCGGGCGGCGCCGGCAGGACATCGCGCGGGACCCGCTGCCGACGCCGGATGCCAGCCGCCAGCCCCGCGCAGCCCTGGCCCCGCAGGCCCCGCCCCGCGCGCCCCTGACGCCGAACAGCACCTGTTCCCACGCCCGCTCCCATTGGCCCGCGCGCCGATGACCACGACGCCCCGCCCACAGGTGCCCGCCTCGGCCCCGCCCACCCCCCGCAAGCCCCGCCCGCCCCGGCTTCACCCCTGCCTGCCCGGGCGGGCACCAGAACATTCCTGCTCCTGTTGGCAAGGCGCGCAGCCCCGCCTCTCCAGATGGAACACCGCGCCAGACACAGCCAGGCCGGAGCCCTCCTGCCACCCCGGCCCTGCCCACACAGCGCCAGAGACCCCCCCGGGGGGGGCATCCCGTCCAGCCCCCTTCCACTAGGCAGCGAGGCACCGCCCAAGCCCTGCCAACAGAGGGCCAGTCAGCCTCAGCTTAAACACCTCCCGAGCAGAAGACTCCATTACTAGCCTTATCATTTTACCATCCCAGAGTTCGAAGGGACCCCCAGGGCCATCCTGTCCAGCCCCCATCCGCTATGCAAGGAGGCACCACCAGAGCCCTCCCAACAGAGGGCCATTCCCTATCTCCAGAGAAGACTTCATTATTACTATTATTATTTTACCATCCCAGAGTTCGAAGGGATCTCAAGGGCCATCCAGTCCAACCCCCTCCCGCTATGCAGGGAGGCACCACCCAAACCCACACAACAGAATGATAGCATTCTAAAGTTGAAAGGGAGCCCCAGGGCCATCCAGTTCAGCCTCCTTCTACTATACAGGGAGACACCACCCAGGCCCTCCCAACAGAGGGCCATTCCGTCTCTGCTTAAACACCTCCTGAGAAGACTCCATTATAATGGAGTATTATTATTATACCATTCCAGAGTTGGAAGGGACCCCCGGGGCCATCCAGTCCAGCCCCCTCCCACTATGCAGGGAGGCACCACCCAAACCCACACAACAGAGGGCCATCCACACTGTGTTAGAATGACAGCATCCTAAGGTTGGAAGGGACCCCCAGGCCCTCTCGTCCAGCCCCCTTCCACTATGCAGCGAACAGAGGGCCATTTAGCCTCTGCTTAAACACCTCCAGAGGAGAAGACTCCATTACTAGCCTTATTATTTTACCATCCCAGATTTGGAAGGGATCCCCAGTGCCATCCAGTCCAACCCCCATCCACTATGCCCTCTCAACAGAGGGCCATTCCGTATCTCCAGAGAAGACTTTATTATTACTATTATTATTTTACCATCCCAGAGTTCGAAGGGATCTCAAGGGCTATCCAGTCCAACCCCCTCCCACTATGCAGGGAGGCACCACCCAAACCCAGACAACAGAGGGCCATCCACACTGTCCTAGAATGATAGCATCCTAAAGTTGGAAGGGAGCCCCAGGGCCATCCAGTCCAGCCTCCTTCCACTATACAGGGAGACACCACCCAAGCCCTCCCAACAGAGGGCCATTCCGTCTCTGCTTAAACACCTCCTGAGAAGACTCCATTATAAGGGAGTATTATTATTATACCATTGCAGAGTTGGAAGGGACCCCCAGGGCCGTCCAGTCCAGCTCCCTCCCACTATGCAGGGAGACACCATAAAAGCCCACACAAACAGAGGGCCATTCTGTCTCTGCTTAAACACCTCTAGAGAAAGAAGTTGGTGATGATGGTTTTTATTATACCGATACCATCCTAGACCCCCACGGCCTTCCAGTCCAACCCTCTTCTGCCGGGAAAGACACCATCTAAGCTCTCCAAACAGAGGGCCATCCACACTATCCTAGAATAATACCATCCTAGAGTTGGAAGGGACCCCAAGGGCTATCCAGTCCAACCATCTCCCACTATGCTGGAAGACACAAGCAGATGGCCATCCATCATAGAGTTGGGAGAGACCCCAAGGGCCATCCAGTCCAGCCCCCTTCCACTATCCAGGGAGACACCATTCAAGTCCTCCCAACAGTGGTCCATCCACACTGTCCTAGAATGATACAATCCTAGGAGTCAGAACATGAGGGAAAAACCTAGAGAATGTATTAATGAAGAATGGGCTAAATCAGATACAGGCTATTGGAAGCTGTCTCATCTTGAGTCGATCCGTGACCCATTTAAGCCAGTCTTGTCCTTTGGGGGTGCCCATTTAATAAATCCTAATTTTAACTGGAGAATGATGGGAGTTGCAATCCAAACAGCATTCCTGAGCCCTGCTACAGCTTGCTTTGAAGCAGGTTGACTCAGAAGGTCATCCCAATGTGCTCGCTGGGCCTTATTATTATTATTAGCATTTTTATGAATGCTCCCATTAGAAAATGTATAAGGATGTGGGTGAACTACAGTTCCCAAAAACGTGGGTCAACCCTCCCCAAACCAGGCCTGTATGAACAGTTGGTCAGGTTGCATCTGTGTGCCAAATTTGGTCCTGACCCGACGTTGGCTGAGTTCAGTGCTCTCTGGATGCGGGTGAACTACAACTCCCAAAATCAAGGTCAATTCCCACAAACCCCTGCAGTATGTTCAGTTGGTCATGGAGCTTCTCTGTGACAAGTTTGGACCCAGTCCAATGTTGATGGCGGGGGGGGGGGGGGGGGGGGGGGGGGGGTGTCACAGTTTCTCTGGACGCAGGTGAACTACAACTCCCAGATTCTTAGGGCAATTACCCCCAAACTCAGCTTATATTCACAGTTCGACATGTTGGGTCTGTGTCCCAAGTTTGGTCCAGATCCATTTTTGAGGGGGTTCAGAGTGCTCTGGATGCAGGGTGAATGACAACTCCCACATGGTTGGATCATCCCCTCCGCAACCCGTCCAGTATGTTCTGTTGGCCATTGGGGTTCTGTTTGCCACGTATGTTCCAGATCCGCCATTGGGGTCTTCGGAATGCTCTCTGGGTGCAGGGTGAACTACAACTTCCATGTGGGTGGGTCGGTCCCCCCACAAACATCTCCAGTATGATGTATTGGTCCCCAGGGTTCTGTATGCCATGATTGGCACAGATCCATCATTGGTGGGATTCAGAGTGCTCTGGGTACAGAGTGAACTATAACTTCCACATGGGTAGGTCGATCCCCCACAAACACTGCCAGTATATTCTAATGGTCACCAGGGTTCTGTGTTCGAAGTGTGGTCGGATCCTTCATTGATGGGGTTCAGAGTGGTCCGGATGCAGGAAGAATTATAACGCCTACGCAAGTATGTCAGTTCCCCAAACTGGGTTTGGGTTTTATGTCCCAAATTTGGCCCAGGTTTGTTAATCGTGCCTGTGAGACGTGGACTGTCTACAGACGTCACATGCAACTCCTGGAACGATTACATCAGTGCTGCCTCTGGAAAATCCTGCAAATCTCTTGGGAAGACAGGCGGACAAACGTCAGCGTGCTGGAAGAAGCAAAGACCACCAGCATTGAAGCGATGGTCCTCCGCCATCAACTCCGCTGGACCGGCCACGTTGTCCGGATGCCCGACCACCGTCTCCCAAAGCAGTTGCTCTACTCTGAACTCAAGAACGGAAAACGGAATGTTGGTGGGCAGGAAAAGAGATTTAAAGATGGGCTCAAAGCCAACCTTAAAAACTCTGGCATAGACACTGAGAACTGGGGAGCCCTGGCCCTTGACCACTCCAGCTGGAGGTCAGCTGTGACCAGCAGTGCTGCAGAATTTGAAGAGGCATGAATGGAGGGCGAAAGGGAGAAGCGTGCCAAGAGGAAGGCGCGTCAAGCCAACCCCGACCGAGACCGCCTTCCACCTGGAAACCAATGCCCTCACTGCGGAAGAAGATGCAGAGCAAGAATAGGGCTCCACAGCCACATACAGACCCACAAGAACACTGGAAGACAATCATCCTCGGAAAGCGAGGGATTGCCTAAGTAAGTAGTAAGCCAGTCCTCCATTGTGCATGTGGTAGGGCTCAGGCTGCATTGTAGTAGGTTGTCTGTGGTCCATCCTCCCCCAACCATCAGCAGGACAGAAAGTGCATCATAGGGAGTCTGTGTGTTAAATTGGGTCCAGGTGCATTATTCGTTCAGGTTGCAGTGGTTTCTGATAGTGAGTGATGATACTGCAATTCCCATAGTACATCCTTCCCCAAACCTCACCAAGATGTAAAGTAGACCATGGGAGGCCTGTGTGGCAGGTGTGGTCCAGATCCGCCATTTGTGGGAGTCGCAGTGGTCTCGGGAAGTGTGTGAAAGTATTGCAAATACCATCATCCGTAGCAAGTGTGGTCCAGATCCATCGTTGGCTGAGTTCACAGTGCTGTCTGGATGTAGATGAGCTACAACTCCTATAAATCATGGTGAACTCTTCCCAAACCTCTTGTTCAGTTGCTGATCAATTCCTGTTTGCTGTGTGCCATAGGAAAGTGGTTCTGGCCCCACTTACCTCTCCGAACGCATCTCCACCTATGAACCGACTAGAACATTAAGATCGTCTGGGGAGGCCCTGCTCTCGGTCCCGCCTGCATCGCAGGCGCGTTTGGCGGGGACGAGAGACAGGGCCTTCTCAGTGGTGGCCCCTCGGCTATGGAATGCCTTACCAGCAGACATCAGACAGGCACCTTCGTTGCTGGCGTTTCGGAGAAAGGTCAAGACTCGGCTTTATGAACAAGCGTTTGGTTAAACAGTGCAACCGAACATAGGAAGACGGTAAATGGAACATAGGAATGGCACAAGGATTATGAGAACGGATCTGATTTCACGGAGGCGATGTTTGATTTGTTAATTGTTGTTGATTGATGCTATTGATTTTGTTGTTATATTTGTTGTGTTTTAATTGCACTGACATTGTTGTGATAACCTGTACCATGTAAACCGCATTGAGTCGCCTGTATAGGCTGAAAAATGCGGTATACAAATAAAGCAAATAATAAAATAAAATAATA